AGGACGGGAGGCGGGGCCGTGCCCTTACGCGCCGAGCGCTGGTGCGGGCACACAGACATACCGTTGGCGTTCACGTGCGCTCCTCCCAGAGAAAAAGTGACAACAGTAGAGTCGAGGAACGGGGAAGCGAAATCTACACCTTTTCAGTCCCCACTTGAAATGTCATGCAGTTCTGATACCTTCTTCCTTTCTCCAAAACCGAGACCACCAACCCCGCTTCCTGCCAAATGAAGTTGTGCTTTGTAATCCTCTGGATCCTTCCAGCAGAAAGAGGCTGTAACCCACACACACTCCAGAAAGAATCCACTAAAGCGTTTGGCACATTATGTTAACGCAACGTACTTCTTTGTGTGAGCGTCTACACACGTGGAGCTTCGAGGACAACGTCAGGTGTTATTCTTATGCCTCCACATGCATAAAGGCATAATTCCCCCAAATATGCCGCTGTGGGAACCTACACCGAAAGGACTTGTTGGGCTGGCAGTCATTTTTGAAAGCCTGGAAACCTGAGTTCAAGTCCCAGAACCTACATAAAGGTGGGAGGAGAGATCTGACCCTCATAATCTGTCCTCTGACTTCCACATACTAAAATAAAGTGTGTGTGTGTGTGTGTGTGTGTGTGTGTGTGTGTGTGTGTTTTAAAGGGGGGTGCTGGAGAGATGCTCTTCCAGAAGGTCCAGATTCAATTCCCAGCACCCACATGGCAGATCACAACTCTCCGTAATTCCAGTTCTAGGGGATTTGACACCCACATATAGACACACATGCAGGAAAAACAGCAATGCATGTGAAATAAAAATAAATTAGTTTTTAAAAGGAGAAGAAGGCAGGGTGTGGTACACAACTTTAATCCCAGCAAGGCAGATGGATCTCTGTGAGTTCAAGCCGGCCTGGTCAAAAAAAAAGAGAGAGAGAGAGAGAAAAGAAAGAGAATAACCTCATATCAGACTGAGTGATCAGAAAACTTGGATGTAGGCCCCAGGCATCAGTAATCACACCTCCCAGGGCTTTTTAAGTGTGTATACATCTTCATACACCTGGTGTAAGTATGATAGTATTTAAGTGTGCACACCCATGCATGCATGTCAGCAGCCAGAATCACCTTCTGCCTTATTGCCTGCTGCTTTGGTTAGGCTGGCTGGCTAAATGGCAAGTTCTCAGGACCCACCTGCTTTCCATGTCCCCATGCTGAGGTCATAGGTACACATGCCACGAATTTGGACTTACATCCTGCTCTCAGAGAGAGTGCCCTAACCCACTGAGCTGTCTCCTCAACCCCTCCCCAGGGCATTCTTACGGGTACTCACAGTTGAGGACTACGCCCTGAGCGCCCCTGGGTGATGAAGCAGTTCTCAGTACTTCTCAACCCCACCTCCCTCCTGGCATCGTGAATTATAAAGGCAGTGATAAACCATTGGGGGATAGGGGATGAAAACTGAGAGCCTTGTTCTTTCTTTTTTTTAACGTTTGTTTCATGTATGTGTATGTGGTTATGGTGGGGGTATGTATACATGAGTGCAAGTGTTCTTGGGGGCCAGAGGCATTGGATTCCCCTAGAGCTGGAATTATGGGCCCTTGTATGCCTCCCTACAGGGGTGCAGGGAAGTGAACTTCAGTCCTTTGCCACAGCTGTATGAGTTCTTAACCTCTTGCCTTAGTTTGCTTTCTACTTGATAAAATACCATGATCAGAAGCAACTTGGGAAGAAAAGGGTTTATTTCACTTATTTTATTACACTTAGACTGCACAATCCATCAGCGAAGGGAGTCAGGGCAGAAACCTGGAGATGGCAACTGAAGCAGAAGCCATGAAGAAGTGCTGCTTCTCATGTCTCGCTCAGCCAGGTTTCTTATATTATCCAGGGCCACCTGCCTAGGAATGACACTACCCACCATGAGCTGGGCCCTTCCACATCAATGCTCCATCAAGACAAAGTCCTGCAGGCTTGCCTACAGGCCGACATAATGAAGACATTTGCTCAGTTAAGATGCCTTCTTCCCAGATATGTCTAGGTTGTGTCAAGTTGACAGAAACCAACCAGCACTCCTCTGAGCACTCAGCTCTAAGAGCACTGTTCTTACTACTAGTTGGAACTTACAACTATGCCTGTCAAATATGAGTATACATAAGGCTTTCAAGCGTTCTCCCTCATTTCTTTTGGTGGTTCTGCCTCCCTGGCTCTACTAGCATTTTTCTAGCCCATTTCTGTTTTAAGGAAGGAATTCCTGGTCTTCAAACACTGTCCAGCAGGTCTTGTTTGCTTTTTTTCTTTTAATGGCACTGAACTGAGCATTGAACCCAAAATCTCTCACATGCTAAGCAAGCACTCTACCACTTATCTGAATTCCCAAGGTGTTTTTTGTTTTGTTTTGTTTTGTTTTGTTTTTTTCTCTCCTCTTATTTTTTGAGACAGTTTCTCTGGGTAGCCCTGGCTCTCCTGGAGCCCACTCAGTAAACCAGGCTGGCCGCAAACTCAGAGATTAGCCTGCCTTTGCCTCTCAAATGCTGGAACTAAAGATGTGTACCACCACACTCAGCTCTATCTATATATGTTTGTTTGTTTGTTTGTTTGTTTGTTTGATGCAGGGGCTAGAAAAATGGCTAGTGGTTAAGAGAGTTTCTTGCTCTTCCAGGCGACCCATGTTCAGTTTTCAGCATCCCTGTAAGATGGCTCAGAAGAGCCTGTAATTTAAGCTCAATGGGACCTGACACTTCTTCTGGTGCATTCACCTGTGAACAAACCCCCACTTGGATACACACATATACACTTCATTAAAAATTAAAAGTGAGTCTTTAAAAAAGAACATTTGAGGCTTTCATCACTAAACTGCCCAAGCTGGCCAACTCACATTGCAGTTCAGGCAGACTTGGCTGGTAATTGTGATCCTACTGCCTGTCCCTCCCAAGGAGCTGGGATCTTAAAGGGACCTATGCCACCATATACCATACAGCCTGCTGCTCCCCGTGCCTGGAATGCCCTTCCTATACTCAATGCCCACAAGGAATGGAACTAGCAGGTGACTGTAATGCTTAGGGTGCAAAATGTAACTGGGAGAGCCTTGCACAAGCCCAGGAGGGGAACCATTCTTTAACTCGAAGCTCTAAATATCCTATTTGTCTTACTTTGGCCCTGCCCCGGGTTAGAAGAGCCTTGCTGTCTTTTCAGGTGGGAGTTTCTGCAGCGTCTGTGCCCTACTCCCCCGAGCTAAGCAGTGCTGCCATACTGCCTGCTTCCTTGGTAGTCCCTGGTCACCCATCTGCAAGTGTCGGGTGTTTTTGCATATGTATCATCTGCTTGCCCCTTAGAATCCTGCTTTGTGAAAGCCAAGGCCACACGTGCCCCAGCCCTACTGCCTCAGTTTCTGGCACCCAGCAGAATATCTGACCCTCAGTAAACACTCAAGAACTGGGGAGAGGGATGGGAATTATCTAACATGTGGAGCAAGTTGGTACCTAATACTCACCTGGAGGGCAGGCATTGCAGCTCAGGAGGTCAAAGCGCTTATCCTGTAAGCCAGATGGCAGGATTCAATTCCTGGACCCCACATAAACCTACATAAAGGTTGATGGAGAGAACCAACTCCACAAAGTTTCCCTCTGACAAACACAGGCATCATGTCTTTCGCCCATCATGTGTGTGCACATGCACACTGTATATATACGCTAACAACAGCTATAATAAATAAATTTTCATGTGGAGCAAGGTGAGGTGACGAATGCTTCTAACCCACAGAGCACAGGAGGCTGAGGCAAGAGAACCGCAGGGTAGAGGCCAGCCTCAGCTACGCGGATTGCTCCAGCCCAGCTTGAACTACTTAAGTAATCCCAGAAGGGAAAAAAGAAAGCACAAATCCCCCTTTGACTTTTTTATTGTTGCTGTTTTGTTTTTGCTCGCTGCCTGCTTGAGTCAGTCTCTTGCTGTGAGTCCCTGGCCTGAAACTCTCTTTGTAGAACTAGGTAGTTTTGAACATGCAGTGATCCTTTGCTTCTTAAATGCCGAGACTACAGGCATTAGCCATTCGTTACATCAGCTTTTCTTTTTCCAAATGAGTGGAACTGAGCATGAACCCTGAGTGCTGTGCATGCTAAGCATGTGCTTTAGGCAGTACTGCATCTCCAGCCCTGTTTGGTTTTCTCTCTCACTCTCATCTCTTCCTCCCTCCCTCCCTCCCTCCCTATCTCTTCTCTTCTCATGAAGCACAGGCAGGCCTGGTCTTACCACGGATGGAGAACTTTGAATTCCTGATCCTCCAGCTACTACCTCCCAAATGCTGTGAAGGGAACTACTATCCCTGGCCTCGGTATGATTTCTTTTGTTTGTGTTTTGTTTTGTGAAAGAGTCCCTTTTATGTAGCTCTGGCCATCCTGGAACACCCCATGTAGACCAGGCTGACCTGAACTCATACAGATCAACATGCCTCTGCCTGTTGAGTGCTGGGGTTAATCGGTATGATTTCTTAATAGTAAATTTGACCATCTATTTACCTAATACTGAAGAGCTAGGGATAGGTTGGTTATGGATATCTTGTTTTCTCTTGCTAGTCAGAAGTAAAATGAGCAGTCATTTGATGAAGAATATGTGTTGACTGAACAAAGAATGAACACTCTTGGGGTGGGGCAGTAAGCCACACAGACCGATTGAGTGGACTTTGGCCAAGGTGTCCAGTCTTGGCTTTAATAATCATGACTGACATATACTAATATTTATTGAGTATTTACTGTGGCTCCCCCTGAGCCAAATGAACAATACCATGGGAGTTGTCTAAACCACACTGTAAGGTCAGTGCCAACAAGGCATTACCGACGAAGACTGTGGTACCAGGAGAAACAGAACTGCTTGCTCAAGGACACCCAGACACAGCAGACAGGGCCCGGCAGAGAACAGCAGAAACATAGACAGCAGGCACATTTGACCCCAACCTCACACTTGTCAGAGGCTTTAGGTTGAGATCTTTGGTGTTGCCAAATGAGTTTATACACGGAGCCATGACACAACGCAGGAAGGAAGTGTGGATTTTATTTATTTGTTTATTTATCTTTCAAGGCAGGTTTTCTCTGCGTAGACTTGGCTGTCCTGGACTCCATCTTATAGTCCAGCTGCCCTCCAACTCACAGAGCTCCACCTGCCTCAGCCTCCCTGAGTGCTGGGATCAGCTGTGTGCCACCATGCCCAGCTTGGAAGTCTGGATTTTAAAGCTGTATCCCACCGCTGGTCCACACACCTGTAAGGGACATATGTTCACATCTCATAATAAATTAGGTCACTGCCTGGTGAATAGATAAGCACATTGTTGTTGTCGATCGCCCTTAAGTTAAAACTGTCCAATGGACAAAGGAAAACTTAAAATACAGCACAGGGGCTGGGAATGTAAGTTAGCAGTAGAGAACTTGCCTTTCATGTATGAAACTCTGGGTTCCAGTACTAACACACACAGACCATTCTTACAGAGATAGATAGATAGATAGATAGATAGATAGATAGATAGATAGATAGATAGATAGATAGATAGGACATAAACATATACTTTATGAGATCTAACACAAATTTTATGCTATTTGCTCTCTTCCATTTTTTAAAATTATATTTATTGTGTATGTGTCAGGAGCACACACATGTGAAAGTTAGGGAACAACTTCCTGGAGCTGGTTCTCATCTTTTGATGTGTGGGACCTGAGAACGGAATTCAGGTCATAAGGCTTGGCAATAAGCACTTTTACCTGGTAGACCAGGCTGATCTAGAACTTGGAGATCTGCCTGCCTCTGCCTCCCAAGGGCTGGGATTAAAAGCCATTGACTCTTTTTTAAATCTATTGATCTATTCATTGACAGGGGGGTGGAATTCAGGACCTCACACACACTGAGACTCTTTAACACTAAGCTAAAACCAACCTTATTTTTATCTTTATTTTAAACAACCCACTTTTTTTTTTTTTTTAATTTTAAGACAGTTGGAATCTTAAAAACAAAGTTCCTAGATTTTTTTCTTAACTCTTGAAAAGCCTTGAAGTCAGGACTAGAACACACAAACCAACCCCAACTCCCTTACATGTCATGACTTTCCTGGAACTCTTCTAAACACCTGACCAGGAAATGCAAATCTTGCAGTCATGTGAATGAAACATAAAGCCCTCCCCTTTGCTTTTTAAACCCTACACCTGGCGGAGGACTCACCCCAACCACACACCAAGAACTGAGGAAATGGGTTCTCAAATGAGAGACTCCTCTGTAACGATGATGACTTTAAGTTTTATTTTTAAGGGTGGTTTTAAAACACAGTATAAAATCCATGCCATAGAAATGTGCAGAGGTGTGTGTGTGTGTGTGTGTGTGTGTGTGTGTGTGTGTGTGTGTGTGTGTGTATGTGAGAGAGCCATTGAGAGAGAGAGAGAGAAGGGGGAAGGTGACAGAGAGCTCAGCAGCTTTCTTGTTCTGTTCTAAGCCAGGAAGCCTTTGTCACAGGTCAGGCTGCCTCAGTAAGGGCTATTTTTATAGTGAGTTTTCAAGTTGGTGCAGGAGGAATTTGGCTGGGAAACCTCATGACACATTTGAAACCTCCACCCAGGCTGCCTCAGCGTGTAGTTCAGGCCAGGTTCCAGTGAATCAGGACACAAGGCGTGCTGCAGCTGCTCACCTTTGTGCTCTCCGAACAAATAAATAACAGGAGAGGACACTCACGTGACACTGTGTGCAACCCAGTGGAGTACATAAGCGCAGAGGTAGAGATGTCCCCCGGCTGCCCGTAGCTACCCAAAGATACTCTCCTCCTCCCTGCTCTTTTTCTGAGAGAGTTCTTCCTACACAGCCCAAGCTGGCCTTGAATTTAGCCATCTCTCATCTCAGCCTCCCAAGTGCTACACTTACAGGCAGGCACCACGATATCTACATATAGACACTAAAGAAATTAGCTCCCGTCTTCCTGTTATTAATCCAGCATCAAGATATATGTAAATGAGATGCAAGTTTTATAAGTTCTCCCATTTACTGTCTAGACAGCTATCACTCAATGTTTTTAAAAGGTAACCTGTGTATTCCTTTCTCTAGCTCATTTATCTGCAACTGAGCTCAGTTTTGTCCCCAGCTTGAATCTAAGGCTGTACATGCGTGCATGCACTCGAGCAATTTTTGTGTCTGATGAGGATGTGGAGAGAGGTCAGAAGACGGTTCTCCTTCCACACATGAGTCCTAGGGCCTGAAATCAGGTTGTTGGACCTGTCTTCCTGTGTCTTGTCCAGCCTTCTCAAAACAGCTCTCCTAAGGTCAGAGTCTACTGCAGACAAAAGGTGTAGCAGAAGCTGAGAAGGTAAAAGGTAAAGAAGTAGAGGGGAGTGTGGGAGACAGGGTGAAAACACTGGTTAGCATTTACCTGGACTAACTACTGACTGTGAGCTGTTGTGGGCTTTATACATAGTTTATTGTCAGTTGCTCTTTTTATTCCTATGTTCTAACTGGCTGAGTAGAGGCTTACAGAGGGTGAGACTCCCCCCAGGTGATAGCTAGACTTAACTCACATAACTTCTCCTATCATTCATCCTTTTATTTATCTATTTTAGTTTTTAAATTGAGCCAGGCATAATGGTGCATGCCTTAAATCCCAATACTAGGGAGGCAGAGGCAGGCTAATCTCTATGAATCCAAGGCCAGCCTAGTCTACAGATTTGGTTCCAGGTCAGCCAAGGCTACAGAGTGAAACCCTAGCTCAATAAATTAACACACAAACAAAATCTATTTAAAAACTGGGAGCCAAGCAAGGTGGCACATGACTGTAGTCCCAGTACTCTGGAAGGCAGAGGCAGGTAGATCTCTTGTGAGTTTGGTCTATAAACTTACAGGACAGCCAAGGCTACACAGAAAAACCCTGTCTTAACAAAACAAAACAAACAAAAAACTGAGACAGGGTCTCATGTAGCCCAGGCTAGGTATCTAAGGGCTGACCTTGAACTTCAGGTTTCTCTGCTTCCACTTCCTGGGTGCTAGGATTGTATAGGTGACCCTCCATGCCTGCTTTTATTCAGTGCAAGGGGACCAAACCCAAATCCTGGTGCTCACTAGGCAAGGACTCTTCCAGCTGACCTATATCCACATTACTTATTGCAACCAACAATCAACCTATTGTCTGAGTGGCCTGTATTTTCTTTTTCTTCTTTTTTTTTTTTTTATCAGATGTCAGAACTCTTTATCAACCTCACTATCAAGGAGGAGTAAATACATCTTCCAAAGGCTTCTGGCTGCATCGGGACTAGTGAGCCTCTCTAATGGAAGACTATGTTTGCCATAACTGAAATGATTCCTACACCCCAAGCCGAGGAGTCAAGTGAGAGCTTGCTCTGCAGTGTTTTGTGTGAGATGATTTGAAGGTCATACTGCCGAGCATGGTGTTTGGACTGAGCCCAGCCTGCTGCCTCTCAGGGGATGCTTCCTGCAGGGTCCTGGAAGAGGTTTGCAGAAAAGCATGCTTTGCGGTGGCTTTTAGATGAGGGAGCAGCAGATGGCCGGGTATTACATCACCTCGGGGAAGAGAAGCAGGACTATGAAAATAATAGAATTGTACAGAAAGAAAGGTCCAGTCTCCAAGTAGAGGAAGCGCTGGGGAAGCATTTGCTCCCAGTCAACACCAGGACAACAGATACACTAGTCATAGGCTGACCCCTGCTACCTGCTTTGAGAACAGGCACTACGTTTTGTGCTGTTTTATTAAAATGACAAGGGCCACCTACTACAAATTGTTACAGTATTGATTTCTCACTGCAGTTAAATGTCATCAAATTCCCATTTTTACATAGGAAGAAACTGCCCTCAGAAAACTTAACTAACTTGTTCCGGTCACACAACTAGGGAGTGACAGAATTTTGAGTTACCGGGTACTCAAAAACCTCTTACTTAACATCCTCCTGCAGGGCATTTAAATAAATAATAATGATTCTTTTTCTATTGGGAGGTGAAGCACTTGGCCGCATACTAAGTATGTGTTCTACTGCTGACTACCACTGACTATCTCCCAGGCATAAAGAATCGATGGTGAGCTGTGGCGTAGCACAGTGATGAAGCCCTCCTGGCATGTGTAAAACCATGAGCTCCACCCCAGCACTGCAAGAAGAGGAAGAAGAGAAAGAAGAGAAGGGGGTGGGGCAGGGCATAAGAGTTCAAGAACCGCAGTGGCTGAAGCCTTTAATCCCAGCACTCAGAAGGCAAAGGCAGGCAGAGCTCTGTGAGTTCTATGCTGGCCTGATTGACATACTGAGTTCCAGGCCAGCCAGGGCTACAGAATGAGATCCTGCCTCAAAAGGAGAATGGGGAAAGAAGGATTATAATTGCTTTTGAGGGATCAAAGGTTGGAAAGATATTCTTGCTTAGAGAGGATATTTAGGGGCCTAGAGAGATGGCCGAGTGGTTAAGAATGGTTAACAATGGTTGTTGCTATTGCAAAGGACTCAGGTTCAGTTCCCAGCACTTATATGTTGGCTTATAACCATCCATAACTCTATAGTTTCAGGGGGTCTGGCCCCTGCTCTGACCCCTCTGGGCACCAGGCAGGCACGTAGTACACATATATAGATGCAGGCAAAATATTCGTACTCATAAAATAAATACAAACAGTATTTTAATTAAAAATAAAGGAAAGGAAATCTGGAGCCGGTGAGATGACTCCAATGGTAGAAGAGCATGCCTCCAAACCTGATGATCTGAGTGCTATCCCAGGACCACGTAGTGAAAGTAGAGAACCAACTTCTGCAAGTTGTCCTCTGGCTTTCTTCCACACAGGCCAAATGGCACATGTGCTGCCCTGCCCAGCAAAATAAATAAAAATGCAGGGAAAAGAGAGAAATGGTTTGGGGATACGGGACACTCAGCTGTAGCAGAATAACATTTCAGCAAGGCAAATTGATGCACAGCTCTGTCTCTCTAGTCTTAGTACAGGTGCTGACTGTGTGTGTCTGTGCTTATATAGGTGGGGGAAGGCTGAAAGGACAACATTGTCCTGAGGATTTCATGTGTCAGCTTTACCAGGCCACAGGAGAGCCAGATACTTGGTAAGACAGGGTCCTAGGCATATCTGTGAGGTGGTTCTGGATGAAATTAACATTTGAATAGTAGGCTGGGTAAAGCTGACTGCGTTTCTCAACCTAGATGGTGTAGTTCATAGAAGCCTTGAATACAGGGCATGGAGAGGTGGCTCAGCCATCGAATGCATACTGCTCTTGCTGTGGGCCCAAGTTTGATTCC